GAAAGTATTTCTGATAAGTTGTGGGCAAATCCTTTAATTGAGTAATAAAGGAAGAGCTGCTTTTTATTTATTCAAATGAAACAAGTTGAAGTCACTAAATCAAGTTATCAATCTTGTAGTAGCGAATTCTGTACTGGTTACCATATGAGGATTGGAAAAGGAGGTTAGCACTGCAAGGTTTTGTAAATGTTAGAAATTACATTGATTTATTTTCATTGCCATTTGGTAACCAGTCAGTGAATAGTGATTTTCCATTTACCAAGGAAGTAAACTATTTGATCTATAAACTAAACTTTGGTTGGGAGGGTGGGGAAGTGGTATTTGGGTAAGGTCAACTTAACCCAACCTCAAATATATGGCCCTCCTTGGAATCCTGCCATGAAATCTTATTGTAAATAGGAAAACCAATTTTTTATTTATTACCAAATTGAAATAAATTTTGAAATTAGAGCACTCACCTCTTATCCTCACTTTATACCCTATTCAGACTAGACTTTGCATTGAAACCGGTTGCGATGTAATCGGTAGTGAACAGTTGTAATCCAAATTGTTCGCAACCATTCGCAAACTTCGACAGCATTCAGACACCTTTTTACTTTGATACTTTACATCACTAGCAACGATATAGGTCGTCCTGTTTTGTTTGACCTCTGCCAATCAGTGCCTGTGTCCTTTATATTAAACATATTCCTTTTATCTTTGTATTGGTGAAAACAATGATTAGTTTAAGTCTAGTGCAATGATTAGTTACATTATTGTGCATTCTATATTTTATATCATCAGAATATTTACCAAACGGAAGTTTAAATACATTACTTTTTAAGCGTGATCATTGTTAACCTTTGATTTGGTATCGTTTGTTATACTATTATCAATATAGTGTTTGCAAATTTTATCAATAACGTACGAAGGGTAGCCAATTAACGTAAATTATTATTATGATCTTTAGATATTGGTTTATCCCCCGAATATGTTTATTCTCGTCATTTTTGTAATAAATGACAATTTCAATAAATTCGGTATAGTATTTGTATTTTCTTCATGAGTTGCGAAGCGTGTATTTGATGCCTGTCTCTTATAAACATCTAGATGTGGTGTGTCGCAATTGCTACAACTGATCGCAATGCGAAGCTAGTCTGAATGGAGTATTAGTTCTACCTCTTGGAATCACCACTGAATTACCCTCTGCTCACTTTAACCCTATCCCATATGGAAATCTAAGTCAAATCTTTCCTTTCTGTTATTATGCTCACCATTTACTCAGTACCCCCAGTGCTTGCATTACCCTATCTGCCATGCTTATCTCAACCCTAACAATGTTTTTGATATTCTAGATGTCCAAGTTACACAGTGTATAGTAACTGTATCATTGTGTGTTTTAAGTGGTTAGATGCTAGCAAATCCAGTTTGCTAGAATTGGTATATAGTGCAGCGTTGCAATAGATCCCAAGTTCACCTTGATTATCAATAGCCTTTAAAAATTGTTATCTTTGAAGAGAATAATGGTGATAAAAGGGTGGAGAGGTTTGGAATGTTGGACTAGCATAGCATTAGCAGACATACTACTGTAAGTAAAGCCCAGCAAATCCATTTAACCTTCATAATGCCTGGGTCATGAATCTGATGTGTCAGAGGTCAACCCAGGATGAGGCATCTTAATAAATAGGTCACTTGATGCTTGACAAACTATCTTTTCAGATATTTATAGTTGTCTATTGTAAATACATATCTTTTATTAGTTGGGCTAGACTTTTGGTCAAGGTTATCCAATAATCTGCTAGGTAGGCCTACTATACAAAAATACCTACTATACAAAAATACGATCTTATATTTAGTCTTGCTATTTGAAGTTCAATAAAATACAAGATATAGATAATACATAGATGGTTGCAAAATAAAAGCTTTAAAAAGATGCCAAAGTATTATAATATAGACTTTTGTACCTTTATGGGTTACTATCATAAAATTTAATTTAATAAATACAATAAAATATAGTATTAAGATGATTTATTTCATTTATTAGCATAAAAAATCATTTGGAAGCCAACCTTAATATATAAAAAAAATGAATTATTGATATGTTTATTTTTTAGGTTAATTTTTACTATTCATTGGTACAATAGTTTTAGTATGAGGATAAATAAAAATTTTAAATTTTAAATAAAATTTTGCTATGGGTTCAGATTATTTTTTGTTGAGAAGATCCCTAGCTTTCATATTTCTAGCTGAGCCTGCCTCCCAGGGGAAATGAGAAGTTTGAACTAAGTTGGAAATGTTGGCTTTATATGCTTTAGTATATAGTTAGTATCAATTGCAGTTTTAAAGATGATACATTACTGAAATGAAGCTAAAACTGTGTACAGCTCCAGACACATACAGTTAGCCCAAGATATCAACTAATATTAATAATAAACTGTCTGTAAGCCTAACATAAATATAAAACAAACAACTTTGCATTCTGTAGCATCTGATTGAAACACATGGCCGTAACTTCCAGCGGCGTATCCAGGATTTCAAATTAGAGGGGACTCGTGGTGCGAATTTTACAGATGGATAATCTGGACTACCTCTGCCCCCACCCACCATCCCTCATTAGAGCTGAGGCATAAACTTTTATTTTTTTGTACCCTTCCAAATTTGAATAAATTTTCTTATTTCCCTATTTTTTTTAAATTCTCAAAACAAAAAAAATAGTGAGGGACTGGCTAGGCGCTTGAACCAGCCTTTGCATACCCCATACTGTAGGGCTTCAAGCTTCTGGCGAATGGAGCAATGATTCTTGTTAATTTGTATTTAATTGTTTTTTTCTTTCTGTCCCCTTTACCTTATGGATTAGTCATATGACAGTATTTGCAGGTAAAATGCTTATATTAAACCTCTTGCATTTTCCTATTTCTTAACCTAAGCATTCCTTTGAAATTATTAACATCGAAGAATCTTATTGTTGTTAAAAAGAGGAAAAAAAGCAATTGTTGGGTTTTTAAAAAATCAGTAAACGTAGTTGGTAAATTCCAATACCATTATTTTTTGTGTACTATGTCCCCAGCCACTGAATGTTCTAGTAAATGTTTTCTCATTGTCGTCTGTGGATAAGACCGACAGCTAATAATGATTCTCAAGATAGCCGTTACTAACTTTTTTAAGTGGTTGTGTGTAATAGGAAAATTGCAACAGTGAACACCAAATCATGCTGTCTTTTAGTAAATGTAGAATATTTCAAATATCTTTTACATTTTTTCCCCCATTTTAAAACAAGTGTAGCATGACCTGTAATTTTATGCCTTGGTATCATTATTTTATTGAGATGCCTATTAGGCCGGACCGACAGACCAATTTTAATTAATGTGCCTGCATCGTCGCGTTGCATTCTCCATTAAATATATTGGCCGCTGAACATTGGGCGCAGTGTGTCTGGCTTTAAGCTACTTTCTTCAGTATGAGGGTTATGTGATGGGGCTGTTTTTAAATGTGAGAAAAAAAAATTCTGGTATTTTCAAGGATTCGAACCTAGCGCTCTGAGATTGGAAGTCAAACATCTTAACCACTTTGCTGGGCTATCGCACAGCCTTCATCAGATTGCTGATTGATCAAATGTACCAATTTTTAATAGCATGCTTAGGTAGTAACAGAAACCAAAGGGGCCACTGATTAATCTCAGATAAGATAGTATAATACACATAATTATAGTATTTTAGGTAGTAACAGCTTGTTTAATATAGATGACATTTTCCTTTTTGTGCAGTTTCAGTTGTGCACTATTCTTTGTCTGTTTAAAATGACAGATTACTGTTTTCGGCATCTGCTTCTTCGTCTGCTGTCAATTTAATTAGGATTATATTTTTATGTTAGCGTTTTTATTGACTTTTTTCCTTGAGTGATGTAAACGCAAGAGTTTTTATTTCACGGATTAGCATTCTGTTTCAGTTGATGATTGAGAGCAAACGTAGTGATTGCTATAAGTTGAAATCTTCTTTCATATCATGTCGTTCATTTGATTTACTTGTTTTAGGTAGCATTCAATTTATAGAAACATTACCGTGAAATAATTATGAATAATGTTACATCAGATACAGAAATACTAAGTCAAAAATCTCCTGTAATATCAGGTTTTTTTTATGGATTCACCGAAGGAAGATAAACTGTCAAAAGCGATACAGTAATGGCAAAAAATAATAAATATAATGGTTTTGTTGATACAGACTCTGTATTTACGTAAACTACTCATTTAGAAGGATCAGAAAAGTTATCAGATTCTCTGAGGAAACAGATATAAATGGTTTCGCTGATTTCAGACTCTTTACTACTGAAGTCCTTTACTTAAATGTAAACTAGAATGGAAAAATAAGATGATTACAACTTTACATAAACACCAATCATAATATACCGTCCACTTTTTTTAAAAATAAGAACACATTTGGCTAGTTTTGCTTAAAAATTAACAAATAAGAACAATTGAGGCTGAGTTGAATAAGGTTTTTATTTTCTTTTTAAATAGAAAATCAACATATCTTATTTGTACTTTACTTGCACTAGTTGCGACTATGTAATAACCTCTGTAATACAGTTACCGTAATATAATCCTGTAGATAATAATTTTCTATGCTTGAAAAGTGTGTAAAAATAACATATTGGGCCTGGGATCTGCAAAAAATAAGAATGCTGACCCTGGGCAAAATTTACTGATACTTGTATAAAATAAGTGTAGTGTAAAGACCTATAACAAACTTTGAGTGTAAACCGCACAATTGGTCATTATTTTTTATGTGACACTTGTTTGATTATATTATTGTTATTGGTTGTAAATGATTGATTTAACCCTTCATTTAAAAACAATGTTTTTTCTGGTACGAGTCTTTGCCTATTTCAATAAATTTTTTTTTTAATTTTAAAAATGTATTTAAAAAAAAGTGTGATTTTACAGTATGGTATTCTTTTTTAATTTTTTTAGTTGGTTCTTCAATTATTAATGATTGTTTTTTTTTCACTCTCTTTCTTTCCAGCTCCAAAGAAAACAAACTTTTTGTTTACTGTCAAGTTTTACATTCCTGACCCAGGTCAACTTCAGGATGAATTTACAAAGTAAGTAAAATTGTTTATAATCTTATTTTGATTATTTTGAAAAAAAGTCAAATAAAAAGTAGGTAAAAATAAATTTCAACATTTTCATTGCTGTGAATAGGAGTACTTTTAACAGATCAATTTACCTTGTATGTATGTCCAACAATAGTTTCTTCATATTTTATTATTTGCTCTCTTAAAAAATACTTTAGGTCTGTCTGTTCCTAAAAAAATTGTTAATCTGTCTCCCTGCATTAGAGGAATGTTTATAATAAGTATCATATCAGACATTCTTTAAGAATGTATTAAAATATTAGTCATAGTTTACTAACAAATATACAGTAGGCAACCTAACTGTACAACACAAAATGCACACAACACTATAGCTCTGTATCTTGGCTGGTAAGTTTATTAACACTAATTTGATTAAAGTCCTCTTCTAAAAGGTTTATATAGGTGAATTATGAAATTTGATACATGTTCTTTCCTCATAAGTGCCTGAAAGGAATTGCCCCATCCTACCTATGTAACAAATTCATTTTTAATCAAAATAGCCACTCTCAGTGCACTAGGAAAAAATCTAACAACACCTTGATGGAGATAAAAGGGAAACTCACTCAAAGCAAGAGAACATTCTTATACCGTGCAACTAAGGCTTGGAACGAACTTCCAAACCAAATTAAAATAGAATTAAATGATCTCCAACTTAAAAATTTCAAAATTTTGATCAAAACAGAAAACTAATTATATCTTTCTGACTCACCCTCTGTTCTCTTGCCTTCTTTTTAATTCATTTGAATTGGTCCTTTTTTATTTTAGTTAGTGACTCACCCTCTGTTCTCTTGCCTTCTTTTTAATTCATTTGAATTGGTCCTTTTTTATTTTAGTTAAGTTTCTGTATATTTTTTTTATGTTTGTTTTTGTTCTACGTTTTTTGTTCATGTGATCCACTAGTGAGATCAGTGCTGCGTCACTGAAAGTGTTATCACGTTAAAGGCAGAATAAATAAATAAATAAAATAACCACACACAGCCTACCATTGAGAAATATCCAAAGACTGGCACTCACTGAGCCTGACGGTCGTGAGCGCTGGCACAATTCTGTGGAGAACTTAACGCGACGACGCACAGACAATGGATCATTTTTATGACGATCCTTTCAGACTGCCACTGACAATCAGCAGACGGTATTGTGTCTCACAGAGAGTTGAGTTGGATTGTTATACGACAGTTGTACAACCGTCGTAACACGCAGTGATTGTCCGGCTTAAATTATAGTCTTGATCAATAAACAATGCAAACAGCTGGGGCGGATCCAAAGATGTCTGAAAGGAGGGGGCCGAAAGTTTGGCCGATCATGATGACACCACCCAAGGGGATCTGAGGGGGAATTCCCCCACGTAATTTTTGTTACTAGATGCCCGAAAATTCTGAGGCGTTTTGAGCGATCCTTTTTCTTTTCCTTTTCTTTCTTTTCCTTTTCTTTCTTTCTTTTTTCTTCTTTTTACTTTTACAAAAAAGGGTTGGGGGGGGGGTTTTACCCATATGCACTATGCACATATATATGCACTTCCACATTCTTTGTTTGCAAGCAAGGAATACCGATAGTGAATTCATAATGGGGATGCTTCAGCGCACATGAATAATCACAAATTGTTTAGCATATAATGTAAATAATGATTATAATATAAAGCTACATTTAAAAAATGTCATAAAAATAGAATATGAAAATGGAATATCAAAAGCCAAAAAAGAAAAAAAAAAACACATGACACAAAAAGATTATACTAGTTATCTTTTACGAGCATTAGCATTTTAGTTTCTTGCCAATGAATGGTAGGGTAGCTGATCTAATAATGTAGGCCCCATGCACAGTTATAAGTCAATTGAGCAGAGATGACACACAAAAATTGTCAAAATAGTCATTGTTCATAATAAAAGAAACTTAAGATTAAAATCTGCTACCAATTGGCAATGTTGAAATTATCAACATATTCCACATGCTGTCAACAATAGGTGGTGGATTTATTATAAATGGTAAAAGGTAGTAACACAGAGACACAGAGCTAGGCATGGATAGAGTGGAGGTCTGTTCCGGGGCAAATGTTCAGTGTTTCCTGCCTGGGAAATCAGAATTTCCTCATTAGCAGATGAATCATGCCTAGGACTGGCTTTGTTCTAAATTTCTTTTAAAACAAGTATTAATATGGTTCGAATTTTCGACTAGAATAATTATTCAAGAATTTATTGAAGGGTGTTGAAATTGTTACAGGAAAATAAATGAAATGATATTGAAGGGTAAATTAAAATGTTTCAATGTCAGTTCCTTTAAAAGAATTAGCCAAGTTTGTTTACATTTCATTATTTGGCCATCCATGTACTATTTTTTTTTTGTACAGTAGTACAGGTTGATACTTTAGAACTAACTTGAAAATTTACAATTCAGTTCGATGAATAATTGATACAAAATATTTAACTAAATTATAAAATTGGCACCAGTTTAGCACATACAGCAAACTTAAATCTTCACTCTGCAATCAGCTCCTGTTTCCATATTTTAAAATGCTGCTTTGTTCTTTCAATTACTTTTGGTGTTTTAGGATCAACTCTGCTTGAGAAAATGAAGCTAAAATGTCATTATGTAATATAAATTCCCATTGATTATAATTATTTATATTATCATTAAAGTATTTATTAAATTGTTATTGTATTATCAACAGATTTGTCTGGTTGATTTCAAATAATTGTGAAATAAAATACTTATTAAAGCTAATTATTACCTTGTCACTTTTAATTAATTGCCCTTTGATTACATCATTCCACCTGCTCTGATTTCCAGGGCAAGAAATTGATAAACACCATGGTCTTTATTATATTCTACTGTCTATTTGTATAAACTTTAGTTATCATTGCAAGATTTATACTTTTATTATAAGACATTTAATAATTGTAAATGTTATTATGTATGTATGTAATGTAAATATGTAATTCTAATTTTCTGGCTTGAGTAATTGTAAGAACTTTATCTGATGAAACTAATTGCAGAATGGTCGTAGAAATACCTTTTACTGTCTTATTAGATAAGTGGCAAACTCTTCACATGACAAATATATACACAAGATGCATTACATAAACTAAGTCTCTTTATGATTGGAGTTGATATGTCGTGAGAAAATTTGAACCCAAGACCCTGGAATTAGAAGGCGAGCATCTGACCCACCAAGCTATTCAACTCCACTCCAATACTAAGAGGATGAAGCTTCCTCTCATATAAAGGAGTTTAGCTGACACAGTGGAAGTGTAGCTTGGTAGTTTGATTATGTGCCTTGCAATCCCGTAGTCCTATGTTCAAATCTTGTGACTACTCTCTAAGAGGGCCCAACATGTCGGCTGACCTAGGCTAAGCTGTTTACAAAGGTCAGCCTGTATATTATTGTATAAATAAATAACAAGAAAGCAAGGTACATACAAAACATTTCCCTACTGTTATTTGACCCAAAAAACATGTCTTTTTTAATATTTCCACGTAAATTCTTCTCAGCTGTCGTTCTAGATTCTGTGATGGTGTAACTTGTCGTTTTTTATACCAACAGCAATAACTTCACAGTCAGCCGACATCATTTGGGAGTTCCCCTTCCTGTTTATGCTTGTAAATGTTGCTGCTGGCAGGAAGGATGCACTGCTTACAAGTGTATTGTTCGGTTGATTTCTTCCCTGAGGACCTAGACGTCGCTTGATTCAATCACCTCATGGGCTTTGTAACCTTGTTACAAAGACAATGTCCAAATATAAAACAATAACATCCATAGATAAACAAAGATAAAATAGAAGAATAAAGATGGAACTGATAAACGCTGGAAATGAGTAACTTAAAAGAATGAATAAAACCATAGTATTGTTTTGATACATGCAGTAAATCTCTTTCTAGCAGTGCATTAGTAATTTGATAAAAGTCAAAAAGTTGGCAGAGTTCAGTGGAGAGTATAGTAAATGTCATCTGGACTTCTTTTTATAGGATTAGTATCATAACAGCTGTTTCCTATTTTGACTAAAGACTAGATAAAAAAAAATAGAACCTATCATTTTCTAAGAAGTACACACTGTCTCATTAAGAGGATTATAGTTGTAGTATAGTTGTTTATGTATTCTCAAATGTGTCCGGGGATGTTTTAGTTTGATGGGTGGGAAAATGACACCTAAAGAATTTCACATTGTATACAGTGAATCGGATTTCCCACGTCAAAGACATAAAACTCTTAAAATTAAAATTCTGTCCTTCATTATTGCAACAGTAAATAAACGATAAAATTACTATTAACATTTGAATATGTTGTTTTGTATCATAAATTAAGCATTTTTCAAAGCATTAAGTTATCTTAATTTAAGTATCTGGTCACCTGGTATAATAGTGTTATATATTTTACTTCAATGATTCTCACACCTCATCCCTCATCCTAGATCCAAGTAGCACCATTCATTCTGTCTAAATTTATATCTCATTTTATCTATTATGCAAAGCATATATTTACTGTGTATTGCTTTTTACTGTAAAATGTATTTATTGAATAATAATAAAATTCATTTTTCAAATACTACTTTATCATTTGATTGCCAATTCTGTCAAGACCATTTATTTGCCTGCTACTAAAGAATAATTGATAGTGTAGCATGCCAAAGAAGATTCATAATTTATTTTTCTGCCACTAATAATTATACTTTCTTGCCACCAAAGAATTATCAGGTATTGGCCTGCTATCAAAAAATCAATGATTATGAGCTGTCAACATATTCATTATTATTTAATTGGCACAAATAATTAGTGATTATAATTGATTTTTATTTATTTACTATTTTTTTGGTTTAATCATTATCTTGTTATAAATCCATACAGTACCAGGCATAATTGTCCATCATAAATCATTATGAATGCTATGTCGATGTACTGTACTGGGTATGTAGCTTTGTAGAAGTGGTTAGGTGCATTGTGAGAGCTAGAAGGATAAGAAAGGAGTATTTTTGATGTGATTCACTCCAAGGATAACCCACTAAGTCTGAAGACTTATTTCTAGTGGGGTCGTTCTGGTGGTGATTGGGAAGTACACCGGGAGACATTCCCCTACTCTTTTCCGAAGAGTGTACTGCGTTCTTTAACGTGCACACAGGCCTTAATGCACACAAGACTAACGGCTTAAACGCTCATCCGAAAGACGGTGCGCTATTGTAACTTGCATTTAAGCCCTCCATCTGTAAAACACAAGAGAGCAGCGGCTCTCAAACTCAAGATCAGAGTTTCAGTCCTTCTCTGTGCAGTTTCCTTGTGTCCTACAGGGTAAAAATTAGAATTAAGAAATGTGGTTTTCTATTAGTTGACGGATTTGTTTTTTTTCCCTCAATTTGTTTCTAGGTATCTGTATGCTCTCCAAATCAAGAAGGACCTTGCCAATGGTAAACTGCCATGCTCTGAAAACACTGCAGCACTCATGGCCTCATATGTTTTACAAGGTGAGAGACACAGTTAATTAAATATTGGTGGTGTTAATACTAAAAAAGATTGTTGTGTTGTCCAACTACTGGAAGCCTAACATTAGAAAATTTGAATCACTGGTTGACAAATAAAAAACAAACAAAACTCTATACCAGTAGGCCTAGTCCTATATTCTATGGTTTATTGCTTATTTCCAAATACATTTTGGCTGAAAAGTGGTATCGGGTATCCATTGAGTTAAAATCCATATTTGAGGAATCAAATTCATTAATTAAAGCTTTAAAAAGTAGCCTTTTTAAACATTGTATATTTCTCCTTTGTTTATAAAAATAAATATTTACCAAGCAAAAAACCTGGCCATGGATTTTTAAAGATTTTGTTTCAGTTTGGGCTACACAAAATTTATTTGTTTAGCCTTATTGTTATAATATAACTAAATTATTAATGTGTAAACATTATATTTATTGTTGTTAACAATTCATGATAAATAATCATGATGAAAATAATAGATAAAAGAGAATAAAACCTTACATCTGATAACATGCACTATATTTCAAGACTAATTAATTTCAAGTAAAATTAATTTTACTTCTTTGCATAATAATTATTCTGTGGAATATTTTGGCGACACTTACCTAATTATCAGACAATTTAGCCATGTGCCCCAAGCTGTGTTAACATGTCTTCCAACTTGCCAGGCAAATTGGAAACGACAAGTGTAGTGGTACTTGGATAATTTGTCTGTAGCAGTCGGCATTCTCGGTTATAGACTACTGGTATATGATAACATCCAGAACCTTCAAAAATATTTTTACATTGAATTACTTATTTAAAAAAATCAATAATTTTAATGAAATAGTTGAAATAATTTAGTCTTCAAAAAGTTCTCGTCAAGGCTGTGAAGTAGGAGCCATGATATAGAAGGAGCTGTGAAGTACAGACACCAGAGAAAGCATCAAAGTAGAGGAGGCAGTGAAGTAAGGGCAAAAAGTAGGGGCTTTGAAGTGGTGGCTGTGAAGTAGAGAGAGTGAAATCAGGCCTATGAAGTAGGGACCCCGAAGTGTAAGCACCAAAGTTAGGTGCATGAAGGAGGTGCTTGGAGTAGTGGCCGTTAAATAGAGAGAGTGAAATAAGTGCCATGAAGTAGGGACATCAAAGTATGAGTGCCAAAGTAGAGGCATAAATTAGGTGCTTGGAAAGGAGGGGCAGTGAAATAGAGAGAGTGAAATAAGTAGAGACACTGAAGAGTAAGCACCAAAGTGGGAGCATGAGGGAATGAGGGTGGTGGATTTGTGAAATAAGGAGAATAAAGTAAATACCATGAAGTAGGGACATAGTAGTAGGGGCACCAAAGGAAGGGACTGAAGAATAGAGTACCAAAGTAGGGGAACTGTAGTAGACGCCACAGTAAGTACACCGAAGTAGAGAACACTCAATCAAGTAAAATAGATAGCATACATAATCACATGACTCAGTTAATATACATCATAGTTCCATCTTGTAAGTAATTGGTAAGTGTAATGTGAAAGACAAGAAATAGGTATCTAGGTAAATGAGATTAGAGTATTCACTACAAAATAGGCTAAAGGTCACTGGAGAAATTCTTATTACTAAAAATAGTTTTCATTATAATTAGTAGCTCTTGTAATGAAAATCTTGCGACTCTTATATTGAAAATCAAGATATTGTGATGTTGCAATTTAGAATTAAAGGACCGAGTTATTACTTGGTAGGTTCTACTAATTCCTTTGTTGTATTTTATTAATTGCTGGAGCCTATTGCGTTGCTTACTAAATATATATATATGCCAATCATAAGGTTTCTAAAAATACTTTTCATACTATACAGTATCACTTTTAGATTACTGAAATGATTCACTTCCCTTTAGAAATTGCACGTATTTAGGTTACCATGGCAACTTATTAATTATTCATCCATCCTTAACTCATGGTAACTTCATTAATGTTAAGAATATTATAAATTTATAAGTTTCTGGGTTTCACTTAACCATACATTTCGTTCTGAATTTAAAGGTCATTCGGTGATGGAAATACCTTGGATGTATTCATATTATTTGTTATATAAAAAGTATAATATAGGCTTTACTCTGATAGTCACTGATAGCCATTCTTGCAGTAATATTAAAGTCAAGAATACTGTAGATTTGATAATCATTCATCCATTTGTGCTTGCTTTCATGTCTATTTTAAAAATAAATATAGACCAAAATTTTGATTAAAAAATCTAGATGAATAGTAATAATAATCTATACAGTAAAGGTCTTGATGGACCAAACTTTCCAACTGCTGCACCCTCTCTGGAATGCCTTCTCCTAATATTAGTTATTTCACAATACTCCCTTTGAAAAGCTAATTTACATTAAACCAAACCTTTTCCCTCAAGCTATGTCACACACAAATCTTTTTCATTCACTCTTATTGGTTTTTTTTTTTTTGGGGGGTAAAATTTTTTGTGGTAAATTTATGCCTTTTAGCAACTTTTTGGTAGTCTATATTTAGTCATATATTGTTATTATTGTTATTATTATTATTATTATTAATGTTTTTTTAATGAACCTATGACTTTTCCATTTACTCTCTGCTCTGTTTATTTCAGTACACCTGCCCATTTTGGTTTCATCCAATTTTCCTAATCACCTACCCTACTATTTGTTAAACTACCTTTGACTCTTTTCTTAAAACATGTAAAAAGATTCTTTAATACACTAATAGATTTTTATGCGTTTTTTTTTTAAATGGATTAACTAGACAAATGAGGAATCTAAATTTTAACCAACTCTGTATTCATTGCTGTGGAGCCAAACATATCTGAGTATTTGGCACAGTGTGTTTCCAATCCATTAATTTTTTTGTACTGCTAGTACTCGTCATTAGTGCTTAGCCTAGAGACATATTCTTGGCGCAAACTTTCTCCATCTCCAATTGAAAAAGCTTTTTCTTTCATTATACATATGGTTTTTGAACTTTTAATTTCTGTAACATTCCTATTCTAGGACACTTACTGTAGGTCTCCCACGTGGTCGGTGCCTATACATTCCTTAATTACATCCTTCATCGGCCCTTCTATTCTCAAACTATGATCAATTCATTTTTTCTTTCTTTTCCGTATAACTTTCATTAATGATTGGGGCTCTATCATACAGTCGGTGATTAGTTCCTGTTCAGACAAAGTGTTAAGTGTTCTTTAAAGAAAGTTTGAATTAGTTGTTTTTTCCTGATTTTAACATAATTATAACTAGAACTATTGTTAAGAAATGTACATGGTTGTCTTTAACGCCAATGTTATTACCACGATCTATGCTCAGACACAAATACTGTGATATTTAACAGGGTTGATTGATCTACTAATGGTATATCTAAGGGGCATGAGAGGAGTGTATGCTTTCCCTGAAAATGTTTGTACCTTTACTGAGCAAAAAAATAAAAATTACACAGATGCATGTTAAACCTCAATCTTTTTTTTCCAATTTCAGCGGAAGTAGGCGATTATAACCCAACAGAGCATGACAATGGCATGTACATCACCATTAAATTTGTGCCAAATCAAACCAAGCAGTTAGAGGCAAAGATACAAGAATACCACAAAAACCATGTGTAAGTGCATTTCTGCGAAGATGAAGTTTGTGTTTCAAATAAAGTTTCAGCTTGGGCAGTTTGTTTTTGTGTTGCAATGTAGGGTGCTAGTGTTTTGTAATCTTGAAGCAATGTGTTTGCCAAACAACTCTAGTTCTGGTGATTTATTGCATAAATTTGTATAAGTAGGGATGCACATGTGCAAGAGCATTGAGACTGAGCTTCAAATCAAGTGGGGGCCCTTGTCAATGTTTTCCACGTCCTGTGCAACGTATGTCTCGTGTCTCAAACAGGGACTTTTCAGACCAACTTCCTTCCAATGAGATACAGATCAAAACAGTTCAGTTTACGCTGGTTTACAGTCTGTTTACACTACAAATAATGTTTAAATTGATTACCAGCCAATTGTAAAATCTGCAAGTAATATGCAGTATATCTTTTATATTTGGCATGGAAAATATTTTCACTGCAACAATGTGTTTTTGAATATCACTATTAAGTAGACAAGTCAAAATATTATTATTTTTTTTAGCCCAACAAAGACAATTATAACTTTAATATGCTTGACCATGACAGGTTGCAAGAGTACTTGGAAAAGGAATGAAGAGTAGGATCAGGAAATGTAGAATAATTGTGGGAAATCCAAGCTTTTATGTTCATGAGGATTTTCTTTGTACTAAATACCTTGAATAATTTTGTACAGACGTTAAAATCTGTTTAGTACATTGTAAATAACCTTGAATAGACCTTTTGTGTAGCCACTAGTCAGCTTCTAATTTTAATGAACTTAATATTAACATATTCATCTTTATGTGTTTTCAACCTTGCAGGGGCCAGACCCCGGCCGATGCTGACTTCAACCTCCTTGATGTTGCCCGCCGACTTGAGATGTACGGTGTTCACACGTTTCCCGCGAAAGATTACGAGAACATTCAACTGTTTCTAGCAGTCACGAGCCAGGGTGTGTCTGTGTTCCAAAACAACATGAAAATTAACACATTCTCATGGGCTAAGATTAGGAAGCTGAGTTTCAAGAGAAAGAGATTCCTGGTGAAGCTCCACCCTGAGGGATATGTAAGTAAAGATATAAACTGTATAAGGGTCAGTGCAAAAATAGAAGTAAAATAGTACACTCAGTTTTGTTAAGGGAAGCATTCCAGTAGTAAACATTTGCCTGGACAGCCTGCTAGAATCTTTTAATGACGTCCTGATTGTGACAATGACAACCTAAGATGTCAACTACCGATACAAACCGCCTTGAACAACAGGAAATTATGGTGATGATTATCAATACCCAGATAGGAGCACAGCGATTTTGAGTCTATCTATTGAATCTGAAACATGTGGACCACCTCAATACTCTATATGCCAAATCTTTGAAATGTTTGGGTTTTGAAGTTTATCTGTATAAAAAAAAATGAAACTCCTTGATGTTGCTTACTTTAAATTACATTCAATATGGGACACACTCATTTCCTGTGGAAGACAAAAAATATGAAATTGTTACCAATTTCAGCACCTTGAGCATTACTGCAGTGGCTTTGTGTGCTTTATAAATATTATTATTATTATTATTACCATCTTAGAAATGTATAGTTTCAGATTCAAATGAATTTTATTATCGTGAAATTACAAGTCATGAAAATTGACTTCCTCGTTACAAATATATATAAGTATAAAAAATAGAAAAAGACCGTCAAAACATTAATTTAGTTTAGTCTTGGGTTGATTCCACTACTCATACCAATCCAGTTGTATTGTCAGAATTTGAGATAGAAACTTTCTACAGAATGCATTCAACTACAAGGCAACACCTGTCCTCAAATGAATACAAGATTGTTACTGAATCGATTGATAATACTTCATCATGTACTGTAATAATTGACTTTGTATGGCTTGCTGTTAATGTTCATTTAATGACATTGGATTGATAATTAGATGGATTAGATGATCACTGTTGCAAAAACATATAAATCTGCATAGATAAAAAAAAAAAATTGCCTGCTTGGCCTAGCCTTTTGCACTGTGCAATTGAAAAGTTTTTAATGCCATGAAAAAGTTTGTCCTTTGTTGAAACGACCCAACACTTCAAAGATCTACGAGTTTTTATTTAGTTTTTACAAAAATATATTGTTTCCCTAAAAGGGATCCAAAGATACTTGTATAGTGTATGAGAACAGTACTTTCCGAGCTTTATGTAATTAATTAAAAAACTTAACCATTAGCTATATTTTACCCTACTGGTTGCCATATTTAGAACCGAAATGCATGCCTACAATTAGAAAATAATATCTGAACCAACTGACTTGACTTATTTAACTGATTTTCATTTTTTTTGTTTCACCAGGGTTATCCACGGAGCACTGTTGAGTTCCTGCTCGGGTCACGGAATGATTGCAAACGTTTCTGGAAGAACTGTGTAGAGCATCATACTTTCTTCAGACATATTCAAGCCAAACGGACGCGTCCTCGTCGCCGCCTGATGAGCCGAGGTTCTTCTTTTAGATACAGGTAAGATTAGTCAATTTCACAAAGCAGTATTTGTGCATTTTCTTACTAAGCCCACTTAAATGGAATGGAATGTATTTGAACAGCTATGAGAAAGCAATTCATACGGATTAGGGAAATGATTTATTGGGATTGGACAGAAGACTTTAAATGTTGAGGCGCTCTGTTGCTGTCTGTGTAGCTCACTCCTTAAAGATGCTGTCTAAGGAAACCCTCATATTTTGAACTTTATTTCTTACTTTGGCATGTACAAATATTTGACATAGAATAAAACAGTATAAAAATACAGACAAACATATAAAAAAGAACTAAAAATTACTTCAAAAATAGATTAAGTACTTGAAAGATGAAATGGTCAACAATTCAATGAAAATAAATATCTTAATTCTAAAACTTTATATAAATGTTATCAGTCTCATTTATTATTTTGATCATCTCTTTCCACTCTTCCATTAAAAACATTTGATTTCTTTTTTAAAAGCATAAAATACAATATAAATTCATTAATCATTGGGATTAATTGAGATGAAATAATTAGATTTTGCTGATTTTATTTTGGTAGTTATAATATTTATATTATTCAAAAATTAAACATATTAACATTGTTGGGATCTCACCGCACTGTATCTTTAATGGTCAATATGTTTATAGTTGAACAACATGAAATGTGATCTTAAAAAATCAGTAGGGAATGTGATGTGGACATTTGTATATTGGATTTGAAGTAGTATAACAGCATCTAGAAACATCTGTCTACTAAGAATAATCTTTATTCTATAAATCATCAGTGTAAAATATGTATAGCTTCTGTCACTCAGGTAAAGTGAGCCTTTTGTACAATCATACTTATGAAGACATTTGTGGTATGGAGTAATGAAGATTAGCTGAACAAATCAGTTTTTAGGAGGTGTGGATAGTATGTTGATGAAAGAATTTTGAATGCGAGCATGTAATTATTGAAGGCTACTGTAGTGTTATGTAAATTAAGCTGAAAAAATACTACAATACTGAAATCTTGAACCAGTTGGATCATAGTAATAATTGCCCTGTTGCAATCAATCTTTCAAAATGATCGGCTCCAAACTTGCTTGTGTCTAGGTCAGGCCCGTAGCGTGGGGGGTTAAGGGGGCTACGATGAGCTGCCCAAAAACTGGAGAAGGTCCCTATTTAAAAATGAAAAATTGATATTCGTAGACCTGATTACACGTTATTTATGTTTTGGCCTCACTGTGTCACGAAAAAGTAGTATATCTTTAAGCTTGTGTTGTAGTGACGGGTATCTCATCACCCCTCCAACCGGATTTACTCAGATACAAGTGTAGAAATGATGGGAAAGGGTCTACTTGCCCGTAAATGGGCAGTAGACACAAAAAGCAAGCCTCTACTCAACAATTTTATAGCATATCCACCTCTTGGTAAATTATAATGTTGGGTTTAAGCAGGCATACATATTGATATAATGCTTCCAGATGCATCAATTCCATATCTCATTATTACCAGCCATTAAAGTATTAGATATTTGAATAGTTTTCAGTAAATTGCCTGGAATACAGCTCATGGATATGACACTCAATAAAGAGTCTAATTTGTTTATTCTGCGACTCTAATCTTTTCTTATCATCATGCTTGAGTGAATTTATTACCGAAGTGGATTTGTATAATAGAATCAAATGCATAAATTGTGGGCTGCTAATTGATTAAGATATGGATATTGCTGGAGGTTTTTCGAAAAACGCTTTGATGTGATACACTAAATGTTTACCCTTAGACATTTTAATCGTAATCGTAACCTTAATATTTAATTAAATAACCAGGGAATCATATTAAAATTTAGATCATCTTGTTAATGGAGAATTAAATTTGTTAGGGTTACATAAATGTTTAAATTGACGTTGTATGGTTAGAAGAATGAATAGCTAAGTTGTGCACCTCTTTACTGTCATTATTGGTAGTTAACATCATGATGATTATTTTCATTATTATCATCACCGATCATTGTTATCTTTTCCTAAATCATAAGGTAGATGAATCACTTCTATTTGTAAATGTAATAAAAAATAAATTAATATTTATCATTATATAAATTAAAACCAAATAAAACTGTCAAAAATATGTTCACAGAACCTTCCTCTGTTTTTATTTTTTTTTATTTCGGATAATATTATTTGAAGATCATTGCTCAAAACTTCCCCAAAGAACCTCACTGTAGCATGCGTTGTGCCTAACATTTTTTTTTTCTCTCTTTTTTATTCGTATTCATGTGTGTTGCTTTTTTTTCATGCTTCATTGCATGTAATATTTCTTAATTGAACTTTTTTTTTACAGTGGGCGTACTCAGAAACAAGTGACAGACCAGATAAGAGATGGTTATGTAAGAAGAACAGGTGTCACAAAGTAAGTTTACATTAATTGATCAAAAATAAAGATTACAAGATATTAGATCTAGACAAATTGATGTAGTCCTGTCATCAGATCAACTTTGTAGGCATGTGGGATGAATCTGAGATGCATGTAACATTGAGGCTCTCAATCGTGACGATGGGGGAGGGGGATCTGGGAGAAATGTTGAGGGAGATGGTGAAATTTCATGTGTTGAATCCAAGGGGTTTCAATCTGCCTACTGTCAAGTTGTGTTTGTCAAGAGGGAAATAATTATCTTCTTGGACTTTATAACATTTATTATTAGTCTTCAAACACTGCACTCTGTGAATAGGAATATTCCCCTATAAATGGAGACGGTTGCACAGTGTTAATTCTCTATGGTGGCCAAGGGACTGGATGATGGAGAGGAAGGGCGCTCAAATCTTAGGAATGTCAATTCACACTATCAACTTCTAAGCAAGGTCTCTTCATTGTCTATTTCCAACCAAGAATACAATAACTGTCTGGGAATGTCTATTAAAATTGAATGTTTTGGCCTCACTGTGTTATGCCATGTTTTTAAGTAACAATGAATGATGTTTAAATATTGTTGATGACCTGTAACCTACACAAAAGAGAACAATATGTATTTTGTTATATTCACTGCTAGATAAAAGAATTTAATCATGAAAGTCTTATAAACACTATATGTGAAGGGCCCATTGCAATGCTTTAAAGACAACCCTGAAAAATGAAATTCAATGTTTAAATGACTTTGTACATTAGTCATAACATTGCATATTCATAAAAAAAAGTATCACTTTATTGCATATAAAACAACAAGGGAAAACTTAAGCAATCCTAGATCATGGCCCTGAAGGGGCACACGCAAGGAGAAACAAAGTACAACTTTTTGCTTTCAATTTAAAATTAGAATGTGAATCTCATTAATAAAAGACACAAAACAAAGAAATACATTTCATACTTTGGATATACCTGTACATTGGGTGAGATTAGAATCAATTCAAGTAGGGACCCCAACGGAAATAAACCGATTCGGTTTTTTTAGGTTATCCTGAGCTGTAAATGTTTTACTAAATTATCTTTTTATTGTTCATTGTTTTGTTATTTGTAATGTGTTGAATTATGCTCAAATAAATTTGAATTGAATTGAATTAAATCAATATATGTATCCAAATATTTATTCAATCTGTGTCTCATTAATGTTATTTCCTTTTAGTACATTAAAACGGTACAAGAACAAAATAGGAAAGGAAAGATAAGAAACTATAAATTAGGGAAAAAATGGAAGATTTGGGAACATAAGATAAAATAGAAAAGAAATAGAAACAAAAGAGAAATACAATTGAAAGGGTTTGTGATGGAAAGGAAAGTGAGAGGCAATGAAATGGTAAGAAAGTAACAAAAGAATCTAAGAATTGCTATGTGGACTGAGTTGAATAAATTGTTACAGTTAACCAAACAATTGTGATAATTATTAATAATCTTCAAGTTAATGGTTAAACTAAATTAAAACTAAACCCAAAAACATATTGGATAAATAAGTCATAGTACATTAGTTTATGGTTTATTTTTTCTCTATGTTTTTGTTGTTAAGCACCTCAAGGTTGTGAAAATATGAGGGGCTATATAATTCCAAAATTATTATTTTAGTTTAAGCAATTCAATGTTATGATTAGGGTTTTTTTAATTTTTTTTTAATTTTTTTTTTATTTTACTATTGTTATACTATTGTTATTATACTATTGTTTGTTATTTACTATTGTTTATTTTACAGTTATAAATATGTTTCTCCTCTCAAAGAGTTATAGCAATTCCTTGTTGCTGTTCAGCACCTCAAGGATGTGACATTGTGAGGCGTAGTATTAATCCAGAATTATTATTTTAGTTTGAGCATTTCAATTTTATGATTGGGGTTTTTTTCTGATTTTTTTTTTCTCCAAATTCTACTACATAACAGTTGTTATAAGTATGTTTCTCCTTAAAGAGTACTAGCAATTCCAAGTCTCTTAAGCTTTCCATTCCTTAACTGTAGTCGTAGCCATTCAGTCTCAGATTTCTAATACATGATAAATTCTACGGTACATGCTATTAGCAATGCACACCTCCACAACGAGCTGTCACATACATACTCTTATTACATGCAGTGAACATGATCTATGGAGGTTCATGTATTTGCCTTCCATACTTTGTATGCATTTCAAGATTTATCTTTATGGGCTCTCTTGGGAATGGAAACAGTGCACGATACTGTAGGAGTCACTGCGCATTACCCCAAAGGAAATATTATTATATGATTTTTTTTTTATTATTAACAAAAATTTTCAATAAAAAATGCTTTTTTGAAAAAAATACAAATTATACAATTTCATAAGAACATTTTTTGCAATGAGATATTGTTGAATCTATTTAGTTTTTGCTGACTTACTTTTTAAAACACTTTATTATGTGCTAGACAATTTAAGTATATTGTGATTATTTATGCAAAACGTTCATCTCTTTTATTAACACAAGAAAAATATATTTTCATGAATATACTAAGTAAACAATTGAAATAGAGATGTATTTAAAAAAATTTTTATGTAAGTGTTTATGTAAATTATTTGCGTAACTACAATTACTCCCTAGGTAGGTAGTAAAGATTGACTACACATTGATATGTATTCACTGTCAGAGGGGAGGCGGGGGGAAGGCTGGAGGAGGAAGTTATGACTTGAATCCACGAAAAAAGGCGCTAAGATTAAATGAATATATAGTTAATTTATGATTTCTCTGTCTACTTTTTCCTTCTCAGTACTCTGAACGCGTCACGCGTATCCACAAGAAGCCTCGGTGCCCCACGTACAACAACACCCTTGACAATAGACATGACAGACCCAGCTATCTCAGACCACCAGATTGGAGGTGGCGATTCACGTTATGAGGCCTACAATTCACACACAATAGAACACCACTATGACTACCAACCACCAGATAAAAACGATGTGGAGCATACGACATCTGGCACAGAAGCTGCATGGAATACGGATGTGTCCTCGGCACCTACGACCCCTCAACATAGCAACTCGCGTATTGTTATCCAACGTGGACAATCAGATTCTAGTAATCTTTATGAGTACCAGGTATTGAAAACCAATACATTTTTGCAACCATAAAATTTTAGTGTCAGGTTTTTCAGAGAAATCTTTTAATTTTTTATATAAAATATTTTTAAAATACACAAAATTCAGACCTTTCGAAACCAAAAATTTGTAGGCTTATTATGTCACTTAAAGTAAACAATTATAAAGTCTGCATAATCAATTTGACTTAGTGTCCTAACCACAATAAAAATGTAAAACAAGAATGCATAATTGAGTGTTCAGATTGATTTTTATTTAAAACAATGTTCTATTCACATCATTTCTAAATATACTTGATTATTATTTATGTTGAATTAATTTTAGTATAGAAATATCTACATTGTTTGTTTTGACACTGATCCAATTAAATGCCTACATTAGTTGCCTTAACTGCTATAATATTTAATAAGCAAAGTGTTCCAAAATTCCAAGACCATCAACTCTATTTGTCCTTTATTATGTAGAGAAAACAAAAAAACAAAAAAATGGTGATTCATTTAGATATGACAAAATTTTCAACCACAGGTTAATGATGATGATGGCACAAATGGTATCCTAAGTGGAGATGAAGGCAGGTCGTCAGTTCACAGCTTCAATCCCGCTTCTCCAACACGGAAGGAACCAATTCATGTGGAGTATGCTACCCAGAGTGCCCCAGAAGATGTCCGGCCTGCTGACAACACAGATCGTATGAGTACGAATTCTACTGATACATCTAACTTTAGTATCCCTAGTGGGACATTAAATATAGATTTTGATTATGAAATGAAGAGGTTTGACAGAAGTGGTGCTGGAAGAGGGAGTAGCTCCCATGGAAATACTTCTGATAGCAGTGCTGCTGAGAGTAAAGGGTGTAGCAAGCCTGAGGAGGACAGTTTAGATGGGGTTTTGGACATAGTAGGATCCCATACAACTGCTAGTGATGGAGAGGTAGCATCTTGTACAGAAGAAGGCATCTGTAATGTATCAGAATTTAGTGTAGTTGGTGAGACCTCTGCCACCAGCAGTAGTTCCGTTAGTCTAGAAGATCTTAGAAGGATTGCACATGTTGGCTTAGATTCTAGAATAGTTAGTTCAATGGAAGAAATTTTTAAAGCTTCATCAGAAGTCTCCAATTCTGAAATTTCTCCTCATGTAGCAAAAAGAGACTTCAGAGAATACTGTGCTCCTGGACAAACTGGTTTGAGTCAGTTTCGACAGGAACGACAGCTTTTCTTCTATAGTGAAGAGAACTTAGATGACCAGGAGCCATTAGGGAAGAGCTTAGGCCAGGCTAACAGTGAGTTTTTTAGGCTTGAGGAAAAGATGGATAGAACAAGTGCCGACCTTTTGCAATTGGAAGAAACTCTCAAAGAAACTCGTAAAAGCATTCTCTTGATGGAGGAAGAGGAGCTGGCATTAGAAGAGGAAGAGAGAGATAAAAATGGAATTAATAGTGTTAACAGTAGTTCTACTACTAATGATAGTGATATAGGTAATGATTCACACACTGATAGTCAAACTAATGGAACTAGGATTGAGCAGATTAAAATTGAAAAAGAGGAAACATCTGAAGCTGAAAGAACTTCGATAGTCCCACCAACACAAGATCACCTTAACCAGGTAGATAGGCCACCAGAAGTAACAACATCAGTTCAGAAAGTTGAGATAGATTTTGATCATCCAGAAGATGATGAGTCTACCTCGATGGAAGTAACATCTTGGACTAAAAATGATTTTAAAGTCAATGCAGCAACAATGAATAATTCTGTAGGGAATGGTAGCATTGATTTTCCAGTTGAAAAGGAACCTGCTGACATCACCAAAAATGTTAGGCAAGTTAGCACCACAATAACTACTACAGTAGATGTAGACTCTATTATCAAAGAACATAAAATAACCTCAGAAATGCATGTCTTCCAGTCTGAACAAATTTCTCCAACCTATCACTCCAGTAAAGTGTTCTTACAACCTAAGGTGCTTGAGATTCAGAGTCCTACATCTAATGAGCCTAGATTCACATCATACCAGACAATAGAAGTAGTCTCCCCTGTAGAAGAGAAAGGTAGTCTTGAAGAAAGCTTAGGTAGGAAGAATCTAACGGAAGAAGTTAAGATAGATGTGCCTGAGAGTGGTTCGAGCAAAGAGTGTGATGGTGTAGAAGGGGACCTTATGAGTGAATTTGATGCTGAAATGAAGAGGATTGAATTCGGTTTAGTTAAGGAAACCGAGCCCAAGAGGCAAGGTAACATTCAGTGTGATATTATTGTTAATAAACACAGTGAAGGGTTAAAAGAACTATATATTGAAGAAGGTGATACTTCCAAACCTGGAAGTGTTGGTCAGAAGAGCAGAAGCACCTCTGCTACATCTTCTGCTTCCTCGGATTCTAGCACTGGTTACCTGTATCAGTACGAACTAGATGATATGAAGGCAACTAAAAGCCGTGATAAGTTAATAGTCTCCAGCAGTTCGGACAGCAGCAGCAGTAGTAGCAGCAGTAGCAGCAGCAGTGTTGATGTCACTTCCGAAGGAAATGACTGCAGCCCGCACAGGACAGAAGTGAATGGTTTGTTTAATAGGCATGCTTTAGATAATGGGGGTATCATAGACCTACACTCAGAACCTAGCCCAGTTTTTGCCGACTTGAGCGAAAATTATACCAAATTTGATGGTAATAATAGCTCTGATGAGTTTGACTAAAGATAAAAATCTGCTGATGATTTTTTAAATTGCAATTTAAAGGAAAAAAAATTCTCAGTTACAAACCAACAAATGTGCTATCACCTTGTCTAAACTTGTATACTTTCCAGCTTACATTACAAATCTTAAATATTACCCAACATAAATATTGAATGAATCAAATATTGCTAAATTCAAATATTACTCAGATGACTAAAGAAAATTAAACTGTAGAGCTGTTTTATGTTCTATACATGTCCATTCCCAGTTTTTGATGAATTGTGTGTGAAAGGGGACTTCTATGTATGAGGAAGGAGAATACTTGTGTGTGAAAGCGGAATATGTGTGTGGGGGTGGGGGAGTGAACTGTGTGTGAATTACCCATCATTACAAAAACAAATTGGTGGCAAATTCGTGTTGCTAGATATTTTACAGAACAGAATCATAATTAACAGGTTGTATTCACCTTATTGTACTGTAGGTTAGATGAGAAGTAAAATACACATAAATCAGCTTCTGTTCATGAAGTATTTCCATAACAAGTGCAGCGTAACATAGGAAGAGTAAGACAAAATTTTGTCAATGATATGTGTCGAATTAAATCCCTAATGTGCTCATCCGTACACCTGTGAACTCTATCACATAATTTACAGTACATTCAAAATCTATCACAAATCTCACTTTGTAATACATTTAAAAGTCTGATGGGAGAAATCAACCCATAAGAGAGATATGAAGATGTTATATATCAAGAAATCAGGCATGATACTCTTCAGATTTTAATCTGATTTCAGATTTTTTCTTTTATTTAGATTTAAATCTAATTTTAGATTTTTATACCTTTGCCGTGCACCAGGATTTTATTATTTTTTTTTAACCATAAATGATAAATTGTATACTTAACTAAATTGTAATAACACTGGCTTTTATGAGCCTACTGTATATGATATAAATTATAATTATAATATTAATGATCACAATGCATAAAAACACATAGTGGCTCGACTCGCCTTGGGCTTTCTTCAGTGTACTGTCTCAATGACCCAGGCCGAATTTCAGATTTTTTTTTTATTGGAAGAATATCATGCTTGGAAATATGTATCCTTAGTCCTTTATACAGTTCTACAGTTTGGTGGTTAATATGGTTGTCTTCCAATCCAAGATCTCAGGTTCAATCCTGTCAAAATATTTCCTCCCATTTTCCCAAGCATCATGTTTTGATAAAATTAGTTCCTCTGATGTAAGCCCACTCATTAAACACATAATTAGGCCAATTTTAGGGGTGGGCTTATAGAAATCACCTTTCCACAAAAAAAAATGATGATACTTTGTTAAACTGACAGAATCTGCAATCCTATTCAGGGATGACCATCCAAAAAGCAATTTTCAGCACTACACCAAAATTCAAAGCCAATTTGTTTTTGTTTTTTTTAAATTTTTTTTAGAAAGTATTTGTAAAAGTCAGCTAAGCTACTCGTACAAATCATACCTTGACTTTTGCCCGAGGAAAGGCTTGTATGTAAAATTGGGTGTAATGTCATGGATGGGCGTATACCCGAAGTGGGCTACCTGAGAAATTACGGGGAATGTGAAAAAAAATTAAAACTTTTATTTTAAAAACAAAATGGCATTGACCCAGTTTATAGAGCAACTTAACTGATAGGAACAATTTGTTGGTTTTGTTTTTTTTTGTTTTTTTTTATCAAACATTTGTCAAACCTGTTAGTGTAATTACCAAAATCATATTACCATGCATATTACATCAATGTTTGCTTTAATGTAAATATGTTTGGAATTTGTAAATAGCTGTTTTGATTGATAAAGACCCACAGAATACTGCATTTGTCTTGTGTGCATGTCTAAATTTATCACAGGGATTACCATGTCTATGCATAATAAGAGCTGTAGCCAAAGATAATTACATAAACCTTTCATGTTCTAGAAAGCTTTAGAGTCAAAACGGAAATAAACCAAAACGTTATTAACCAGAATGGGAATATTATTTTATGGAAATAGACCAGAACTGCAAAGCTGGGTACAAAATGGCGATAGAAAAGTGTTGCCTCTTTTTTATGTATTGTCATTTTGTTTATTGGAGTAATTTTCATTTAGTTTATTGTTGGTTTATTGTTGTTTTTTTTCCTACATAAAAAATCTAGGTGTAAATTGGTGGTTAAAATGCTTACCTTCTATACTCCAAGGATTGTTGTTTACAACTAAAAACAACTCCACTTTATTATCCTTGTTATGTTTAGTTTATAGTTGCGGTTCTAAAGTATATTTTGTTCTTGGAATGTTACTGTTTGTTGAGAATACAATAGAATGAACATTTGTAATGGAAAGAAGACAGTAATTCTGTGACACTTGTCAAAATCAATTGCTAAATCAATACCACGATAGATACGTTTACTTCCTTATGGATGTCAATCAGAAATTTGTCTATGTCTGAATTCCTAAGATATAGTTAGAGCATGCATTTTGGATACTGATGACTTCCAGTCTTTTTAATACATCAGTGGCTTGTCGCCAATAGCTTGGGATTTTTAAAGTGAGGACATCCAATGTTTTCTCTACTTCTAACTGTCTTCCTTTTAACCAAGAGTAATTGTTATTTCTGTCAATGGCAAGTTGGTGATGTTGGAGAAGAATTAGATTTGACAATCAATCAGTATCAGGATTTTATGTCCCTTGTTTCTGCTGGTAATGTGTTGTATGGATTCTAGGAATTTTGATTTGTCCATAATCAATGTTATGTTATATTTCTACATCACTTTACCCCTTTTGGCAGAACACAATTAAATCTAAGTATTTAAATCTATTGGGTCTATTGGTATTTAAATTTCCGTCAGAGTTGATTATATAATGGCTTTTGAGAATTATAGTAATAAAGTCTGCCAAATGCTTCATAATTTGTGTTTTGCAATTCAATAATTACTTCTAAGTAAAAACCCTACTTAAATCCCAGGGTGTTATGTGCCTGGGATCAGTCGGTAAGCTTACTATTGCCTGATATAAATATTAATCTCTTTCAAC